AATGCGCCCGGTAATTTATTTTCCGCCACCGGCAATTTATTTTCACGCGCGCATTTTTCAGCGGCGCACGCGAGATGAAAAAAACCAAACTGAAATTCGTTCGCCCAAGATGCTCATTTCGTCCGAAAGATAGCCTGCCTCTGCGTATCTTAATCTATCAACGTCCAATGATGTGCTGAAATATTTACGACGTTATCGCAATGAATAAACTCTGTCTCTCTTTCTCGAAGGTGAGATTTCCGGTGTATTTTAAACACGCATGCACATGTATATAAAGGTATATATGCGTGCACGCGTGTGTGACATGGTATTCTCTAGAACATTTTTTCATATCTCGCATGAGCTCTGTGATAATCCGCGCGAACGGACTCACGAAACAGTCTCTGCATAATCCAAAATGTAAATGCTATTACTGCCGTAATGTTGGAAAATCTCCACCATACTTTCCACTCATATTGAGCAATATTATGTATCTCTTGAATATTCCCGGAAACCCGAGCTGCTCTTTTTTCTGGTCTTGATTGCACTTTGGATTTTCCCCGAGTTATACAACTAACACGAGCGTACGTGGTGCGGCGCAGGAACGCGAATAATTAATTTATAGCGAAATAAGCCATCCAAACGAACTAAAAATAAATTATTCGCAGAAAAAAAAACTCGTTACGAAATTCGCGATATCGTAATTTACGTTTCATATCCGGTTAGAAAAATACATCGGTAAAAGTAACGGTTTATAAAATAATGCATATTATGCATATCGCAAACAAATACGTAACGAGGTACAATGGAACTAAAATTCGGGATCAACAACGAAATGCATGCATTAACGCTCAAAGTCCCCCTGCCGTCAAATGCAAGCGCATTAGCGCGCAATTAATTCACCGGCGTCCATTGTATCGAGTTCTCCCGCGTATTAAGTCCATCGCTCGTAAATTCCAGCAAAGCACGACGTTAAAATAAATCATTGTGTCGTTAAAATGTTGCGATCGACATCCTCATATAGGAGTGCAAATTATATACCGCGGCGATAGCGTTACATATTAACGTTACGTCATTATTAACAGTCCGCTTGGCTTGCGTTTGACAAAACTTCAGAATACGCACGTGTATAACTTTTTCTTCTTCGCCACCAAAAAGTCATAAAATGACTACGATTTCGTACGGAGTCTAACGACTCACAATACGTTTTATCACCCGCGATAACGGCGAACACTTCGAGCTCGTTATTTTGGGTCTGCTGAGGCGCGATGGCAACAAACATGTTCTTTTCCCACTCGAAGAATGGAAATCGATATGAAGCAAGGAGCACGCAGTAAAAAGAACCCCTCAAACAAGCCGATATATATTATTGTTCAGGAAATGGAAAGACTCGTAGAAACTCGTGTTTCTCTCTTTGATTATTGGCGTTTCTTTTAAGAAATTGAACGCCTCTGGTCGGAAATACTGTATATTAGCCATTTCTGCTAATTTCTTTTAAAAAAATTGATTAGAGAAGTTATATCTCAGCTTTCCGCAAAAGATGTTCTCTTGTTACGAAGTAAGGTAATAACGCTCGAAGACAATTTCCTGTGCTTCTCCCCACGCCTATAACTACACTGATTGCCAACAACTATATACTGTTTACCCTACTTCGCCAAACTTCCTGTAGACGCGCGACGTGACCATAATCGACGTAGACGACGATGTCATTACACAAACCCGGTAGGGGTATAACGAAGATCGAGTTGAAAATGTCGTCGATTAGATCCAAGTATAGCTCTATTTCCTTTCGATTGTAAAATTCCACGAGTCATTCTACACCTCAGGCACAACGATTCAATTGTTGACACTCGAATGTTTAGTTGGACGCAACTCGGAAGTTGCATTCGCACAGTGTTAAAACGATATAGACTTTCCGTTCGCAATCAGGCAGCAAGTTTCGCAGAGATTAAATAAGATTCGTGCGTTCGTTTAGACTTTTCGGTTAACAGCATAGAATAATGGTAGGTCAATTTAATTAAAAAGTTATGGCGACCTATAAGCTCGGTTCTTAGCTTAGCGGCCAGCCGCTTGGAACTTCCTAGAGGAATATTAAACCGTAGGAAAAAGTAAACTTATGCTGGATCTGCATACATGCAAATTATCATGCAGAAAGTACCATTATGCTAAACATGCGCTGCGCCGGCGTATTTTTAATACCAATGAGAGAATACTATCGGTATTATACATGACTTATAGAATTACATTCGGGCAATGAAATTATTAACGAAATATTCTTGATAAATGAAAGCATATATGGAATTATTTTATCTTATCTATCTGTCCGCTGCAAGTGGATCGATGAAATTTGTAATTAGAGGATAACTGAGATAATTAGACAATTCCAGTCTCGTAGCTCTGCTGCGGACTGATATGCACCGATTGCATATGCATTGCCTACATATTGCAAAGCGTAATTGTTTAATTGGGTCACAAATTACAATTGGAATTCGCAATTGCCATACTTAAACGGAATTTTCTAATCGATTGCGTTCAGAATTGCAAATTTTTGTTACGAATTGTTATAGTAATTTAATCGCAAACATCACGGACCAGTAGTGCCAGTTCTATCTCTGCACCGAGAGACGTGGGCTTCCTGTATCGAATGAGAATAAACGTTTTCGATGAAATCTCGTTGCGCGCGAATACATGAAGAACGATTTCTCCACGGCTGGCAGAATCGTCAGAGAAAAAAGAGAAAAAGAAAGGGAGGGGGGGAGAGGCGAAGCACGGTGAATTTCTCCCCCGCGTGAAACGCAAGTTTTGAAACTGCTGTCCAACAACCCCTTGATTCTGTCTCTCTTATGTGTACCACATGCCAACCGTAAATCAATTCTCGAAATTGTTTTCGCGCGCCCACACGCCTCCACTCAGCTCGCTAAATTCGATTCATTGGAGTGCACGTTCCGGAGAGAACTGCGACGATCACTCGTATAGACGGTTCATAACGAACAATCGATTTACCCTCGGTGAATTCGCGTTACGAAAATCGAAAAAGTTTCTAAAGTAATGTTGTCTAATTAAAACATTAACGAACAACAATGAATATTTGGAGATTAAAATAAATTACTATATACTAAAAAAAAAATTTACTAAATCTTAATACATATTTCTTTAAATAGTACTAAGTAAACATTTATTTACAATAAATAAATATTATATTTACTCAATAAAAAAATGATAGTTAAATTAAATTAATGGTTTTTTATATAAAATAAATATAAATAAATATAAATATAAAAAATTATTTTTTCAGTACAATAAATTTCCTTCATACTCATTCCCTACAAACTTTTAAGAAGGGAAAGGATAGTAGAATTTTTTAAATGTAAATCTCCAACAAAAATAGCACTCAATAGATACTAAAAAAACAAATCTAATAATCTATAATATTAAAAGTCTATCTTCGATATTATGACCGCAACGAATTTTTGAATATTGTCTCGGGAGAGTATCGATTTCTGTTCGATCAATCTGTCCATGTTAATATCTCGGAAACTATTAAAGTTAGACGAAAAATTGAAAAAGATCCTTCGATGGGATTACTTTGGGATGATTTTTACTGTTATAGAACCGTACTCATTTCCTATAAAATTTTGAAGGAAAAAGAGATGATTAAATTTTTCGATGAGTTTCCATCCAATACTTTTCCGATTTTTTAAAATTCGTTGCGGTCATAATATCGAAGATAAATCCTTAATACCAAAGGTCATTCGTTTTTTCAAACATCAAATGCTATTTTTGTTGGATATTTATATTTGAAAAATTCTAGTATTTCTTCCTTCCTTAAAATTTCACAGAGGATGAATACGGTTCCATCACACTAAAAGTCATCTCAAAGTAATCCTGTTGAAAGAATTTTTTTTCATGTTTCATGTAACTTTAACAGTTTCCGGGATATCGGCATGGACAGAAATCGACCACTCTGTTTCAATTAATATACCTACAAAAAAAGAAAAAACATAAAATGATATAAGTACATACGTTTAATGTTCCTTACTATTTATCGTTCTAGAGATCTTAATATTTATTATCATATTTAAAAATGTAATTAAATCTGTCTAGATACAGTGTATATATCTTTCATGTTTCAATCATATGAATATTTTTTCTCGAATAAATATTGCTTTTCGCAAGGATCACATATTATTAACATATGGTGGTTATATGCGAATTTATCTCTCTCATTCGTTTGCCATTATAATTGAAGCGTAAGTTGTAACGTTGCTGCAATTGTATTGGTTGAATTAATTTGTCGACAAATCGACTATATGAGCGTGGACCATTTTTATTATTAACGAGTTAGCGAATTTTATTGTCCTGGGAATAATTAATTAACAACTTCATCTCGCGACGCGCAGACATTACTCCGGCTTTATACAAGTAATGCATACATGTTCAGCAAATGGGGTCCGACAAGTTCAGAGCGCCACTAATACCTGGCCAGTTCCATTTAGTAATTGCTACCTAACACGCTCGTCCAACTTATTACTGTCTAGGCGCTGTCTACACTGTGGCGTTCCGCTGCACCACATCGACCGACTGCATGTATATTCATCGAGTATTGATTGCGAGCGTATGGACGGGACAGTAATGGAAATTCCATCGATTCGTATTAAAGCATTCGATACGTTCGATCCATCAAAACATGCGCATCGAAACAAGAACAATTGTATGGGAATGACATTAACATAACCAATGATATTAATGTTAATAATCGTGGAGTACACACTGCGTGAAATTATCGCATATAGCGGTATACCTTTAATTGCACCGCAGTTAATTACAGAAGTTTCGAAAATTTCGCGAATTTCAATCTCTGAATTCCACGGCCCTTTAACTAAATTCTCAATTTCCTTTATTTTAATTAACTAATTTATATTCTCTGCGCTATTCTAATTTAAACTCTCTGCTCTTGTCTGAAAACATCCGCAGTTTCTCGATTTTCCTCTCAATCTCGTCTTTTAATTCTCTGATAATAGATACTGGAGCACGACCGGCAGTGGCCAGCAAGTCGTGACGGACATTCCGCGAGACAACAAGGCGGCGATCATCAACAGCATCGCCACGTCGTACGCTCTGCAGAGACCGAGGTACACCGCGACCGCGATACCGCGAACATCGAAGGCCGTCGTTGACGGTAAAACGAGATACAGCGAGACAGGGAAGTCCGACTGGCCATATTACCAGACGTACAGGCAAACAGCAGAGACGCAGAAGGCGCAAATCTACGAGGACATACAGAGGAAGATTGCTAACGTGTCGAACGTGTCGAGTATGGGCTACTCATTCGTGAACAACGTGACCAACTTGGCGGATCAGCGCCAGCACAGATTCAGGATGAAACATCATGGATTGACATCCAAAGGCAAACGAATTAGAACACGTAAGTGTAACCAACATTTTCAAATATTTCATCTTGAGTTACTCCTAACTGAGTTTTATAATAGTTTTAATAATATATCACTTATAATATATATACGTATTGGAGATTTGTTTTTTTATTCTTGCACTAAACTGCACTGTAACTTTTTTTCTCACTTTCGCCAAATATCAAACATATACAGGGTGCCCGCAATGTAAATGTCAAAACTTCGGGAGCGTATAGAGAATCGATAAACTAAGAAAAAAAAGTTTTGTAGAGATATGCTCGTTTTTGCTTTGTTTTTGTACTTCTTTGTTACTTATTCATGTTGTATTTATTCGCTTGCTTGCAAAATTTTAAATATTGTTTAAAATGTTTAAAACGTTTTTGCAATTTTCTCTCTCCAAAACGAACCAAAAACGAGTACATTTCTACAGGATTTTTTTTTTCTTAGTTTATGCATCCCTTACACACTACCGAAGTTTTGACATTTAAATTCCGGACATCCTATATACCATTTCATTTCAAGTTTTAAAAATGCACACTAATTCAACTACAAAACACAGACCTTTGGACGTAGCATTATCGGATTCGAGCATAACATTATCCAATTCTATTCAATTAGTTTAGAATAATATTATCTTGCAATGCCAGCTTCTGCTCACATAGCAAAATATAGTGAAATGATATAATTTATCAAGCGTAATACTTTATATCGTTAACGCTATCGATATCTATTTGGTCGTTCTCCACTAAACCAGCGAATAGTTACGGAGATGATTCAAAATGTTTTTCGAAACCTTCGTAGAACCTTCGCTTTTGCTATCTAATCGAGCCTCTAATTAACTCTTTAAACGACACGGTGCACGGAAGGTCCGGACAAACCCTCGGTGCATTTTTTTTTATTGACGGTAGCTAATGCAAAAGCCGAGCGCTCTCAATAGCCATATTTCCCGCGTAAATGATCAAAGCACGCTTCCGCGCTCTTCCTCTCCCGCTCGCACCCTTTCCCCGTCTCACCCATTCGCGTTGTGTCCTCCACTCTATATTTTCTACCTCGCGTTTACCCGCTGTTCCGGTTTCCGTACTTCATCTATGTAGATTTTTCTTTGTGTGTGATTCTTACATACACACAATACATTGTTCGAGCTGATAATAATTATCAGATTACAAAATTATTAATTTAATATCGAGATTCGTCTGGCTTTATCACATTTCAATTCAGCTCAAAAAAACTTATCCTCAAAAATATGGTCACGATCTTAATCGAATCTTCAAATTTTCAACCAATTGTAAACTAGATTATCTCAAGATATCAAGTAACTAAATTCTTCGAAAGGAACTTTTGTATCTTTTTCAAATTTTGTAGAGGCATTCTATTTGAGCGAAATTTAAATCTAGAAAATTTCCTCGATTTTCATTGCGGTCACCTATTCCGAAGATCACGATTATTATCTACCTCGAGAATTTCCCTGCATGTAGCAAGATTAGACATGAACTCGCTCATCCGCTTGAGCGGAATAATTGCATTCGTGATTTCAGGTGCACCGAGAGATTGCAAGATCGGCGAATGGGGCCCGTGGAGCGCGTGCAGTCGCAGCTGCGGGGTGGGCGAGACCCAGAGGACGCGGAAAGTCACGATAAAGCCGCGCCGGGGTGGCGCACCGTGTCCGCCGCTGAAGGAAACCAAGTGGTGTGGTAGCGTCAATCCGTGCTCGGAGAATAAACCGATCGTCGACTATCATTGGTAGTCATCGTCCGCGTCGGTCCCCTTCCACGAACACGTGTACCAAAGTGACTCGCTCACGGACGAAAGGTCGTGTAAGCCAAAGACGGGCAAGACGAGCGAGGAGTGACTTATGCGAGAAACGCACGCTGGGACGCGAATATGATGAAATAATTCAATGAATGGAAAAATTAATACAGACTGGAGAAGAGAGTATCTTTTTTATATATCTCTCAGTACATATAGTCACCGCAACATGACTAGACGTGTATTTATGGGACATGCCGGGTGTCCCATTTAGAAAAAAACAAAATAACATCTCTGCGTGATTTGACAATATGCGTTACACGAAAATTCATAAACAATATCTGATATTTTAAGATAAAAGAATTAGTAACTGTTGCAGCGATTACATTGGCATCGGACGATAATACCGTGTGCATTCACACAGATATGACTGTAATGACCATGCATAGCGAAATTTCGCGTAATTCCGTTGCTATTAAATCCCGTTTGATATAATGAGTGACCGTGACGAGAAAGAGCGTCGAGTCATATAATCGAACGATATAATACATTTCATTACAATTAGTATATATTCGCAGCCATTACATATTTTCGCAAACAAGCGGAGAAGCATTATCACATACGGCTGCTTTATTTCACTCGCTCGCATTTATTGTCGTTTGATGTCACGTTCGTCGTGCGATACGTATAGGTACGTATCGCTTGGACCGCGAATATTGAAAACACAAAGATTGCCAAAGAGAAATTCGAATAGCTGACTCGCGTCGTATCGCGTTTCCGCGTGTATCACTAAAATGCGTTTGAGGCTCGATTTTCACTCCGAGCGCACGGCGTTTCGATCTTTTTTGTTTTCAGAATAATTGAACAATCGGCATTGTTTATTGAATTTGTTATAGCGAAGTTACAGCAAAAATGAAAAAAGCAAAAAAAAAAGCTAAGTCGCAAAAAAAAGTAACATGTATCTACTTATTGTTAGAATATTCATTTTGCACAAGTTGAATTATGGAATATCATACGATGATTCGCATGAAATCATGGAATATCATGATGAACCGCAAATTTTATCACAAATGATAAAAAAAAGTTAATTAAATATATTTTAAAAAATACATCTTCAAAAGTGTCAAAGATATTGTAAATTCCCTTAATTTACATATTAATTTGACATATCATGATATATCTTTATTCAGAATGAAGTTAATCCTCAACTTTATTCAAAAGCGGATTTAACGATGGTCGGGATGAGGTAATAACATACTTTTGCACGCGATCGAAAAAAGAAATGAACCTTGGCATAATTAGAAAATTGACCCGACTTTCCGGAAGAAAAACGTTAGGTGCAATTAAGCTGACAGTTTAATCGCCGGTACAAATGACGAACCACGTTACGAGTGCGGTGATCGGCGATTTGCACGTTTAGGTGCGAGAATTTCTCGGTAAAATTTAACCATCGCGTGCAGCACCGGAATATCCGCTGAGATTAAGCCGGCGTTTCCGAGACGTACTACATTACCTAAAGCAAAGTTTTTATTAACCCGCTATTTTCCATCGCGGAACGAAAACAGTCACGTACAAAATTGACAATCGGATTTCTGAAATAAGATTAATAACAAAATTAATTTCTAAATTAAACCTTGATTCTAGAATTCATCCTTCTTTAATATATTTCGGTTTATTAGTTTATTATATTTTAAAACTCTATTTAAAACCCTTAGCTTGTGTCTCTCGTCATAACATCACTGTCAAAAATGTTTCTTTTCAAGAAATTCGCGAAAACATTTACAATTTCGAAACGTTGTGCAGTGATCAACAAATTAAAATATTTCGTGCGAAAGAAGAGTAAGATCGATGCCTGATAGGATGTATCGGATAAACGTCAGAGCGATTTTCAGCACGAGATGCGCGTTCGCATAAAATCCCAGACAATGTTTTCGCGTGGGGATGTTTTTCGCAAAGCGTCTCCTCGCTCGACGACAGCATCGACGAAGGATATCGTATAAAATGGGAACCTGCAGACCGGGTTCTGTTTTTTCTCCATCGTCATCGAGAGTGCTGCATCTCTCTCTCCCCCCCTCTCTCTCTCTCTCTCACTCTCTCTCTCGTCTGTCTCTTTCTCTCTCTCTCTCTTTCGTGGCGTGGTAGGGAAATTTTTACAAAGATATCACATCAGGTACGTCTTAGGTGAGTGTATTATATCTTAGGCATAAATTTAACAATAATAATTAATAACTAACGTCTAATCGTTAATTATTAGTACCGTATATTAATCGCGCGACGCAGAGCTCGGCGTTGTTACCCGACGTGTTGCGAAAAACCTCTGGGAAAAAAATCTATAATTATAAGAACGAACGCGTGCGAAAAGCACTTGCTCTGATGGATGGATTTAAGGGTGCAACGCTGAATTCCGTATGCGATGTATGTTGACGCACGGCTTGTCCTTCATGTCTAGCGTCCATGACCGCTATTCTCGTCGAACGTTTAGTATTAAACGCGACCAATCGTGAAATTTGATACGATTACCTAATTAAATTAAATTAAAGTATAGTCTTTTTAATTTATCTAATATGAGAAGAACGGTGAACAAACGAGGAACAGTCAATCTACACGCAAGTGAATTGTATAATTGCATTTAGCACTAAATGAGCGACAAGGATAAAAGCCTATATAGCTAAAATATTTATAACTCTGCACAACTTTTTATTTGAATTAAAAGTATTAATTTCAACAGGAAAATGAACTGTGTCCGTTACTGTGTGTGTGCTGCTATAATTACATATTGTGTAAATATTTTTCATTAATGTCAAGCGTGACGTAATAGTAATGATTTCCCTGCTGCGTTTTGGCTCCCGCAAACCACGAAATAAGCATGCTACGTGAAAAAGAATGGTAAATATAGAGCGGAAAATATAGTATACTATACAAACTCGCATACTGCCGCATATAATATCTACATCCCACTGTAAACTGATACGAAAGGCCAATCTTCGCGATAGTAACGGATAAACATGGGGAAAGCTCGATTACGCGTAAAAATTTCCAAAATGCAAATTGCCGTGTGGTACTGTAACGTAATAGTTTCCACAATGATCTCATACCTCTCAGAACTCCTCTTACTGTATTTTAAACGATTTTCAATAAAGATACGAAAAATCCGCACATCTTGGACAATACTCATATAAAATAAGATATATCGTTTTTATACAAATACAATTTCTGCTCGTGCTAACAAGTAAGACCTTTTTTAAAATTCCGAGCTATTAAAGGTCTTCATGCGAAACGTAATCTCATAAATGGAAAAGATAGTTAGAAAGCTCTCGCACGATGGAAATAATAGTTGCCGGACGAAACTGAATGTAAAAACGAAATGACCATACCGTGGTCGAAATTTTCTCGAAGGAAAGAATAGGATTTGTCAAAAGGTCCTTCGTTAAAATTACCACAGTTTCCGACATTACACGCAAGATGTACCGCTATTTAGCCTATATGGTAATCTTTCAAGCGCGAATACAAGAAGCACATGACGGGAATAACATTAATTACAACGTCACTTATGACGTTTTGGTATTATGTTCAAATCCGATCGCGATATAATTAGCGGCTGCGATCTTCGCCAAAGAAAATTCCTCGAAAACCATTGTTGGCGGCGGGAGCCGCGCGCTGTTGAGGTAGAATATCAAGCCAGACTAATCCCCGAAACTGGAAATCAAGCCGATGTATTGTAAAATCTATCGTGGAACAATACCGCACAGCGATAAGAGAGCCGCTTTTCATTTCTCGGTGTATATATAATACACACACACACACACCACACACACCCACACACACATCATTATACATATATATATGTATAGGAAGGAGGACCGAGCCGTTGCTGTCTCGCAGTTAGATGCATTAAGGATAAACGTTTTGTAAACTAAACGAGAACGCTTTCGTGACACGAGAGCTTCTGTGACATGGAAAGAGGAAAGGAGTGGATATGCTTGAAATAACGATGCAAATAAATTCATGGATAAAAGTGTTTGAGTTTGATGCGCTTGGTTCGATGCAACTGAATCAGAAAATTCACTTCCACCAGAGTTTATAATAATAATAATTCGAAATCTTTTCTTTATCCTGGTTTAACAGTATTCGATCGGAACTTCACTCTTTTTCAATAATCTGAATAACACAAGTACTTATGTATAAATGCTTTGAATATTATATCTAATTGTATTAATTATGATAACTCAATTTTTTTAAGTAATTTGTGCACAGTACACAATTCACGGTCTATTGTTTACAGAAAGAACGATAATTACTCATGATTATTATGCAAATTTTGTTTTCCATAAAATATTTCTTCGATACCATATACAATATAAATGCATTTTCATCCCTTCCTTTTTCACGCGTTACCGGCGTTACGTGACAATGACAAATCAATGACAGATCAATGAAGGAGTATGTGGAGTGCCACGATGATGATTCTGTACAAGTCACTGTGCATTCTAGCCATAAGGATAGCCGATAGGACTAGCGATTAAGCCAAAGCATATGTAGCGATGTATAACACATAAGTTTATATTACATAATAAAATGTGTCGAGGAAATAAGCGGGCTCCCTTCTCGATCTTCGAATACATAATATTTTTCACTTGCGACGTATGAATGGTATTCGTATATAATAAAAGTAGTAATTATTTCAGGAATCGTGTAATCCTCTCTCTTTGTCGTCCATCCTTTTAATATTCACAAATACCACCATGTGCAAACCTCTTTTCCAAAAAAAAAAAAAAAAAAAAAA